AGAGATTAAAAAAAGATTCAAAAATCAATGTTAATGGTTAAAAGAAAATGGATTTTCTATGATTTTAAGAGAAATATCAACCTAACACGAATTGTAGACCGGTTAACCAAACCGAAACCTCTAATGACGGAGAGATCTTTGTCTTTTCTTCAGTGAGTCACAGCTATGAAATTACCCCATCAGGATTTCTATTTAAACACAAGTAAATAAATTACTGATAATTACTACATTTAAGTTCAATAAATACAAAATTGTTATCAGATATATTGTATATGCAGAGATGGAATTTAAAGAATTTGAGCCGCGGTTTAAATCCGCCAAAATCCGCCAAAACCCGGTTTAAATTTAGCGCCGGCTAAAATCTTGAAACATTTGATACAATTTTTAGCGGAACCAACCATATTTAAGCCGCGGCTTAAATTTAAACCGCCGCTCAAATTCATTAAATTCGGCCACAGGTTTAAGGAATCAAGTTTAATTTAAGGTCACTTAAAATCACGTGACTTGGCAATTCCTTTCCTGTTGTTTTTACGATGTTAGGTACTTTCCAAATGACAATTTCCCAAGCGGTAACTTCCAAAGTATGTCCTTGATGCAGCGCTCGAACCCTAGCATGTTCTTGTCGCAGCGCCTCGATCATAAGTCTAACCTAACCTTTGGGAAGTTGCCACTTGGGAAATTGTCATTTGGGAAGTCGCCCTTGGGAATTTTTTTGGGGAAAATACTAGTGCTGATCTCCCATAGAGTCTTAATTTTATTTACCATGTTACTAAACAGTGAGACCCGTAAAACTGTTAGACTCAAGTTATGATTCTAAATATATAGTCAAATGAACATGGAACCCATAATTGTGCAGTGTGGACAGATCTGTTTTTACTTATTAGCAACAACATCAAACAGATATAAAATTGCTTAAACGTCTTGCCATTCCACATTTTTATGGGTCTCACTGTATCTAATGGCATATATTGTATAGACATTGTTTACTAAAATCAGATTTCAAAGAAACTTTTTTTTCTTAAATAAAACAAGACTTCCAGGAAATACATAATTCAATACCCTGGACGGAGTTGGGGATTATATACAAATTATTAAAACAATCCTCTTCCTCCTCCTCTTTCTTCTTCTCCACCTCCTCCTCTTCCTCCTCTTCTTCATTCCCCTTCTCCACCTCTTCCTCCTCCTCCTCTCTTCCTTCCTCTTCTCCACCTCCTCCTCTTCTTCCTCTTCCTCCTCTTCTTCATTCCCCTTCTCCACCTCTTCCTCCTCCTCCTCTCTTCCTTCCTCTTCTCCACCCCCTCCTCTTCTTCATTCCCTTCTCCACCTCCTCCTATTCCGCTTCCACCCCATCCTCTTATTTCTCCTCCAAAACTCCTCAACTGCATGGTAGATGGACAAGACGGTCCGTATGTTTGCAAAACCAAATAACAAGCTCCCCCCCCTCGCCATCCACTCGTAAGTTTGCAAAACCAAATACCAGAACTACGTACAGTGGGAACCAGAAAACAGTGGAAATTTCGCCGTCTTTAATATCCTTTAGAGTTTTTCATTTTGGAATTTGGGATCTAGTATTTGGACCTTGAGTTCCCATTTGTATACAGCATGGAATACGGCTATTAGAATTCTTTTAATGTACCTAGAGATACTCATATGTATTTGATTGAAAGTATTTCACAATGTTTACCATGTAAAAACCATGTTAGCTTTATAGTAGAATTAGATATGTGTCTTTCTATGACATTACATTAGATTTCTTTCTAATTTATGCAAAAATGCAAATTTATTTTCCATTGAAAATGATTGTTCTGTAAATCTTTCTGATCTTAGTAAAATGTTAGCTAAGAAACAAATGAAATATTTTGATGTCCCATTGGACCATGTATGGAAAGTTCCGGTTTTACAAGAACTTTTAAATACAAGAACGAATAATTTTTATATATTGAAGGATTCGATGATTACGTAATAACTGAAATGATAAAGATGTTATGAAATGAGTAATGATCAATGTCGACTATTTGTTCATAATTTTTCATATTTTCTTTTTTCTTTTGTAAAACTATATATTCAAAAATTTATTTAAACAAATTCAAACTACACCATTTATATATGCATTTATATCTTATGAATCTTTATATAATAATAATAGTAATATCCTACAATATATCTTGTATTTTAGGAGTACTGTATCCTGGAGTTCTAAATATCCTACAATATATCTTATATTTTAGGAGTACTGTATCCTGGAGTTCTAAATATCCTACAATAAGTCTTGTATTATAAGAGTATTGTATCCTGGAGTATTAAATATCCTACAATAAGTCGATCTTGTATTTTAGGAGTACTGTATCCTGAAGTCCTAAATATCCTACAATAAGTCTTGTACCATGGTGTACTGTATCCTAGAGTCCTAAATATACTAAAATAATTCTTGTAGTTCGACGCACTGCAACCCATAGCCTTACATTTCCCACAGTCACTCAATTATCCTAGAGTTTTTATATCATACAATACTTATCCTTATAGTTCTTGATGTCCTACAGTATATACATATACTGATATATCAGTATTTTGAAATCTTGACATATTCTGAAGAACGGACTTAAATGTCTCACATAAGTCAAGTATCCAGGAGACTCCTATCCCGGAGTACTGTATCGTATGAGTATTGTATCCTATGAGTATTGTATCCTATGAGTACTGTATCCTAGGAGTACTGTATCCTTGAGTACTACTGTATCCTATGAGTACTGTATCGTTGAGTACTGTATCCTATCAGTAATGTTTCGTATGAGTACTGTATCCTACGAGTACTGTATCCTATGAGTACTGTATCCTAAGAGTACTGTAGCCTATGAGTACTTTATCCTTGAGTACTGTATCCTGTGAGTACTGTATCCTATGAGTACTGTATCCTATAATTTAGCTGTATCCTATGAGAACTGTATCCTATTATTACTGTATCCTTGATTACTGTATCCTATGAGTACTGTATCTATGAGTACTGTATTCTATAAGTACTTATCCTATGAGTACTGTATCCTATGAGCACTGTATCCTATGAGTACTGTATCCCATGTGTACTAAATATCCTTAAATGAGTCTGTATGATTGTATCCAGGAGTCAATTGTATCCTGAGCCTTGTGTCCTGAGTCCTTTAACCTAAAGTCTTTTAATCCTGGAGTACACATACTGTATCCTAAAGTCTATAGTACTCCTGGAGTACATTATACTATATTCTAGAGTCTATAGTACTCCTGGAGTACATTATACTATATTCCAGAGTCTATAGTACTCCTGGAGTACATAATCCTAAATTTTAGAGTCCTGATAATCTACATTTTTCCGTGGTCTTTTTGTAGCCGTTGCTCCTCCATATACATAATATGCAATGAGTAATATAAGTCACTAGTCCTTTGTAACCCTATTTCATACTTAGACGTTAAGTTGCTTAAGAAGATGGAGTGGAAGGCATGAGAAGATTAACTACACTGCTGACCTACTTGGAGATAAATCTAAGAACACATCCGTTTCGTTTTCGTTTTGAATCTTTAATTTTTTCTTTCAAAAACAGCTAATCCCTTTCGTTGACGATTTAAAAGTTAACGATTTTTGCCGTTCGTGAAAGGACTCTTCCGGTAATGTTCGAAAGCCTCCGTTTCGTTATAGGAACTAATTTGCCGAGCCCTAATTCAAGGTTGACAACGTCAACGTCAACGTCAACGTCAACGTCAACGTCAACGTCAACTGTTTGAGAGATAAATTTTGAGATAAGAGATGAAGAATTAATTAACTAGAACTTGAAGATATCACGCTCGAAGATCAATTATGAGAGTTTAACTTGTATTTGTATTAAAACGGAATCCCCCCCCAAAAAACTAACAGAAATATTGAAAGTCTTCCAGGAAAACTATTTTTTTAAATGGACAATACTACTAAATTCTTCAGAAACGCAATTCTCTGTTTGTCTATTTGTTTGGATTTGCCTCAAATTTTAAGAGGGGAACTCAGCCCGTTTGAATATCATAAAGTGTGACGTGTGGTTTAAAAAATCCTAATTGCCGCAGAATTTTATTAGAAAAACTCTAACTTTTCAGAAAATTCCTCCTGTCTTTGGTTTCTTAGTTTGGAGAGAAACTAGCGTTCAATTACGTCTTAATGTAGAACTATTATTTTGAAATACAGTAATTATCGACTTTTATCTGGATTTATAACTCTGCTTTGTGTTTGAAAGGAAAAAACGTACAAGGCTGCATATGCATCTGCAGATGTGATATATTTAACTTTTAATTTAAAAATCTCAAAACCAATAATGTTAATCATAATAGAATTTAATATTATTTTTGAGCATTTTCAAATATTTTCTCCTTAAACACTTAATTTTGTATGTTTTTGTTATATTTTAAAAATAAATAATTACTTACTTAAAAACTAAAAAAACTAAGACGACATTTAAAGTAACATTTAAAAGACTAATCAGGGTTTTAAATTCTTTTAAGACGAACAAATTTTTTTTTATGGATTTTTAAGAAATCAGAACAAGTCAAAATTATGTTTTTATACATCAAATATGGTTTTGAAAAACCCCCTGTTTTGGTTCGAGGCAGGTGGCAGGAGATATCTATCTATCCACCTGTCCTTGTACGTTGTATTTATCTATCTATCTCTCTGTTATTGTTCTCTACCTGCCCCCTTCTCTCTCTCTGATCCCTGAGAAAACTAGAAAGGAAGGATGAACCAATCTACCTGTCTTACAGTTTAAAGATCGGATGAGAAATGAGAAATTCAATATCATGCTGTTCGTAATTTGAGGTTCATCCGACCTAGAAAATTCTATTTATTTCATTTCCTGTAACTTCCATAAAATCTATCAATTTGTCAATACAGATGATTCAAACATCTTAACTCAATATTTAACCTGTTCGTGGAGAAAGTTAAAAAATATTTTTTTGTCGTTTTTAAATGACATTTGCACCTTTAGTTGACGTATCTTATATTTCAGAAAAAATGTGATTAAGAACTTTAAACAACAAATTTTAAATATTTATTATGGATTGAAATAGTTAGTTTATTTGAACCTAAGATCTTCTACGACGATTGATGATTGTGACGAAATTAATAAATTTACATGAATTAAACAAATTTTGAATTCTGCATGGATCGGATTTGAGGAATGAATATCAGAGCTCTGTGTTAGAAAGGATGGATTCTAAAATGAAGGAAAGAATCCCACACCGGCTTAGTCCACACTTTTTCTCTTCAGGTATAATGAAATTCCCCCTAACCCCCCCCCCCTCCACTCTCTTCAGAAATCAGTTCCCCCAAGTCTAAAATTTTACTAAAAAATCGGAGAATTTAATATGAAAAACTAATTTTGTGGTAATTTCCTAGAGAACTATTTTTGGACCCCCCCCCGTCCCCATCCTATCAAACTTGTATGTGCATCTCATATTTAACAAATGCATAAAGATTGTCATGTGGCTGCAGCACCCGGCCCCCTATCCTATCTTAGCAGCAGCACTCGGCCCCTAGCCGCAGCGCTTGGCCCAGAAAGTGTCTTAACCTATCCTAACCTTAAATATATACTAATTTAGTTGGAAATTTTAAATTGAAGGTCTGTCCTGACTCCTGGCTGCAGCGCAAGGTCCCCTAGCTTGTCTTAGCCGCAGCGCTCGGCCCAGAAATTGTTCCAATCTCACCTAACCCTAAAATACGCTCCTGGTTGTAATGTATATATAAATATTCTAGACGAAGGACCTGAGACCGGGGAGGACAGCGAGGATGACCTTGTTCGATCATATCTACCCTCAGACAGGGAATACAGAATACCTCTATTTAAAAGAAAAGTTTAGAATTTTCTTTAAGTTATTTTAAAAGATGTCGGGGAGCCGGAAAGTATATCCGGATAAGATGTCGGGGAGCTGGAAAGGGGCCAATCCGGATTTTAAAGGATTTATTTACAAATTTTAAGTTATATTTCATTATCATCTTACCGTAACGTAAATATTAAACATCAGACAGAAATGAAAGTAACTGTCGACAGGGTTATGATTTAAGATTTGCTTAATTTATCCGCCTTTCTTTCTTCGCGAACAGTCCTTCATTATCTCACTGGGTCTAGATGAATAAGTTTGAAATATCTGTATTGTGTAGAGGGTATGGAGTAAATGGATCCTCAGGTCTCTACGATAACAATCATATTCCCGCAATTAATATCACCCTGCACTCACCCAACGCTAACCATGTACTAGGTAATAACGGATTTGTTGTCTAGAATAATATTGGACTTACTCTTCCCCTCTTATTGAACCTTTAACTTAAAAATATTTATCTTAAACTAAGATGTTTAACAATGTGGGAAATAAATAAGCAAAGGTCATTGAATTGTCAATTTGTTTAAAAATAACATTTAAACCCAAAAATTGTGTAAAAATAGATAAAACAAAATATTATGTCCAATAGTTAATTACCAAATAATAAAAAAATACATCAATACCCAACAAATTTAAACTACACCATATACATATATATATGAGTGTATATCTTTGTGTGTGAATAAATTATATAAAAAAATATAATAATTTTTAAAATACACATTACAAAACCTTATTATTTGAAAGAAAACATGAAAACAAATTTTTTGAAAATACATAAAAACAAAATGATTTGAATAATGTGAGTATTAAAAAACAGGGATTATTGTCGTTTAAGAAACCACCTAATTTTTTTTTGAAGGGTTCATGTTTTAGGTGGAATAATACTGAATTAAAATGAACCAATTGCAATAATATTTTTTTGGTATTTTTTGCATAAAACCAAATTACTTCAAAATAGATAATTACCTAATTATTTTAAATTACTAAAGTACCTTATTAGTTTTAAATCATAATTACAAAATTGTTTGAAAATACATAAATCCTAAATTGTTTCAAAATATAGAAATACTCAACTTTTGAATATAAAACTCAGATTTTGAAAATACAAGATACTCCATTGTTAGTTAAATATTACAATCCTACCCAAGTTTATGAATACTAGTAACAATTTTTACTTGTAACTGACGCTTTTCAAGTAGCCAATTTTTCGCATAACTTCAATGAACAAAAATGTTTGCGGGTGTTCCTGGTCAAATTGGTGGCAGTGAAATTTTTGTTTTGACTTGGCCACACAAATTTAGACCCAATCGTTCGGTTCGGGTCGGTTTTTGGCGTTTTTTAAATGCATAAAAAACATCTAACATACAGATAGCCATACCAAATTTATATATAAATTGTAGATATAGAAGTATGGGAGGGGGAGGGGGGGGGGAATAATTAATAAATAAATAAATTGTTTCTAACACATATTAATCGTATTTTGATAAATTAGTGATTTAATCCGGAAATCCGGTTTAACCCTTCACATCCATCCGGAATATCATATCCATACACTTACTCTTCTTGTACTTAAAGGGGTTGTTCACCATTTTTCTTTTGGGAAAACTTTTAGGTGTGAAAAAAGGCATTGTCGCATTCATAGCATAAAAAAGTAGGGATATTTTGTGTATTTTTCAACATTCAATGACTTAAGTAACAGTTTTGAATTGTTCCTACACTCCACCAAAACCTATGCTTTAAAATATTTCTTAATATAAATATTATTTCTACAATTCTTAACAGTTTTATCGTAATTTTAAAGAACCAGTTTGTTAAAAGTGTTATTGACAGAATTGCAGGCGTAATAAATTAAAATTAGATATCAATTTTAGTCTTTAAAAAGCCACTGTCCCTTTTCTGAAGTTTTAAAAAGTTGAAACTAAGATTCCTATGTCCAACATCTGGAAACATTTACAAGCTCAAATAGAGATTTTTATTAAGAAGTTTTGTATTGAGGCTGGTAATTTTGAATGAAAATAAGTTGCATTGATCGAATTTGAAGATTCCTGATTTCTTATACCTTGTACAATCGCTTAACGTTGACCCATAAGAGATTAGCTAGAGCAAGGTTATAATGCAAGGAGAATTAATTGCAGTTGCGTAGTCTTTGCTTACTTATTGAAACCAGTTCTTTCTGTGCGGAATTTGTAAACAAGAATAGATGCATCAGTGTTCGTTTAGTATCCGAGGAGGATAAAAGCATTTAATTTTAAAATTTTGATAATTCACATAATAGTTTACAATGGACCATAATATTTCATTGATTCTTTATGTGAAAGATGGATCCCATGTGAGGCTTTGACATCCGTCTTGTGTTTACATCACCGCCCAGACAGCACACTGCAGTACAAAAGATGCGTACACCTCTGAAATAACATTCCTTGCATTATAACCTTGAGCTAGAGTATGAATTAAACTCATTAAGAAAGAGTTTAACTCCTTCTGCCCTGTTAAAAGTTTTTAACTTAAATTAATATTTATGATATGTAATCGGACTTCACGATTGTGTTTAATGGATATCCTAATGTCTTAACTAAAATGATTCACCCAGTTACAGTGTTTAAAGTATATAAAAACAAAGCTGCTCTGAGCAATAATTTCGAATTGAAATGTTTTAATTTGTATTTAATTAGATTTTTGTATTCTACAGGTGTACTTCTATACCTACCTTCTAGTTATTCTCCTAACCTTGATACGTAAACAACAGTGGAGGAAGGAGGAAGGGTGGGGTTTCTGTTTATAATCAGACCTGGAGAAACATAGATCTTTCTTGTTTATATATCATCATTCTTTGCCATTTATCAACTACGAATCAATATCTTATTTATATCACATTTTGTAACTTTCTATCCTTGTCTTGCATTTTAAATTCTCCATTTAATGGGATTATAAGCGTAATTTCAAGTGACCCTCCATGCAAAGATCGCAATGTCGGATTCACAACGGTACCAAGAGCTTTGTCTGATCAAGTATGAATAGATTATCAATGTTTATAATATTGAAAACTAATTATTTCAATTGTGGTTTCTCTACAAAGTGACTTGTGCATGTCTACTGGAGGAAAACATAGGAATTGCGATATGTAAACGCTTTTAATCTTAGAAAATAGCAATATCTTCCACAATATTAATTAGCTAAAGGTTTTAAAGGGTATCGTTATGAATCGGGTATTGCTTGAAGGATCACTCGAAATTAAGCTTACGCCTTAAATATCGTTTTACTTTGTCGCTCTTATTTATCCTTGATCAGTGTTATCATCTATCCGATGTAGCCTGTATCCGTCTATTTTTTAATTCATCCACAAGCCCTCATTTATCAGCTGTCCATGCATATTTATTAATTTCCCCTGCTCAATCATTAATTAACAACTAAAAATTTGATAATGTCGGTTTATTTATTTTTTCTTTCTGTTTACTATTAATTATTTGGGTTTACAATGACAGAAATTGTGAAAACACTTTTTATGAAAGAAAAATGTCGATAATTAAATGTAAATAGGACACCCCACTCTTTGAATGGAGGAACACCTGAAACGTAAATAGGACACCACACCCTTTAAATGGAGGAACACCTGAAATGTAAATAGGACACCCCACTCTTTAAATGGAGGAACACCTGAAATGTAAATTGGACACCCCACTCTTTAAATGGAGGAACACCTGAAATGTAAATAGGACACCCCACTCTTTCAATGGAGGAACACCTGAAATGTAAATAGGACACCCCACTCTTTGAATGGAGGAATACCTGAAATGTAAATTGGACACCCCACTCTTTGAGTGGAGGAACACCTGAAATGTAAATTGGACACCCCACTCTTTAAATGGAGGAACGTCCGAAATATCTGCAGCTCATTTAATATCTCAGTGGCTGATCTGGTTCTAGAAGTTTTTATTTATTTTCTCAATTGAGTTTCTAGTGTTAAGAAAAGCTCTTGTTATTTTCTTGTCTTCTGTCTGATGTGTGCGTATGTTTAAGTTGTGAGTAACAGATGTTTTTATTAAATAATTTGCCTTATTTTTTCAGTCTCTGGCCTTGCCTAGATCAATAAATTCAATTCAATTCTAATACGTGACTGAAAGAAGTTTGATTATTTCCAAGATTTCAGTGAAACAATGATTTTAAAATGACTTATTTTAAAGCAAAATAATTGTCATTGACACAATTGGAATATTATTTTTTTATCAATTCTCATTGATCTACTAGACTTAAAATTCTTTTTTTTTCACAGCAATTGGTCTATTTTGCTTTAGTTTCTCACCTAAGCTATTCATCTATATATATTAATTTCTATATCTGTTCTTCCTTTGATAATTTCAAGTATTCATGTGATCATCTGTTTTTCTGTTTATTTGTTTGCTTATACATCTGTTTATGTATGCCTTGTCATCTGTTCATCTGTATAAATTGTAATCTGTTTAACTGTATACATTGTCATCTGTTCATATTTAAATCTTGTCGTTTGTTTATCTGTATATCTTTTCATCTGTTTATCTGTATATCTGGTCAACTGTTTATATGTATATCTTGTCATCTGTTTATCTGTATATCTTGTCATCTGTTTATCTGTACATATACTTTGTTAACTGTGTCAATGTCCGTTATTGTTCGCCAATGCATGATTTTATCTCTACATATATCAATTTGTTATTCCATTTGTTCATTGGTTCCTTATGATAATTTTCTTTTTAAAAGCAAGAGATATTTTGATCAATAAGAATCATGGATCTCCTTTGTCTTTTGTCCTAAAATACACAAGCAACCTTTTTTTGCTTAGAGATGTAAAGGCTGCCGTTGTGAATCGGCTATTCCAACTCTTGATATGGGTGGTCACTTGAAATTACGTCGAACTAAATGTCGTCTTTGTTGCAGAGGCCGAGATCTGTCAGTTGGCAGATATCCAGGAGAATATCCAGAGAATGCGGGAAGGAGAGGTCTTGGATCAACAGAGTCTTGAATCCAGGTATGCCAGCTCAGCTCTTAAAACTACGGATCTCATATCCCCCCCCCCCGTATTTGAACCATAGGAACAGACACCAATTTTAGAAATTATGTTTTTCTTTAAATTCTCAGTTTTTTTTGTGTGTGATTTTGATGGACTCCAGGCCATTGTCCACTCTGTGGTGTCCAGTGCCCTAGGTCTGAGGGTCCACGTTTGGTTCCCTTTCAGATTTAAACTTGATTTGAGGTGTGTTTACTTACTTCATATAATTATTTAGATTATCCACCTCCTGCCCATCTCTTGCTGTTGAAATCTCCAACCGGAAACGGAACAGACACTCACACCAACAAAGATATCGACGCAGATCGGACAGAAACCGCAGGTATCAGAACTATCAGTTCATCTTATAAATACCTAAGACCCAAGTAAACACCGAAATGGATTAATCGATCTTCGATTGGGCAAAATTTTTTTCAATCCTGAAAACTTTAGAATAGGATATACTTAATCCCAATCGATTAATTAATCTGGAGATTAATAACAAGAGGAGAACAAGCATATTTTAATCTCGAGATTAAGAAAAAGAGTGGATCAAGCATTAATCCCGATATCCACCATTCAAAAGTTTCCAGCTTTGAACAAATTTTTTAAGTTTTTGCTTAATTTCAAAATTTTGATAAAATGGGGAAAATCAGTATTTTGTTATTATTGCTTTTAGATGTCCTAAGAAAAAAACTCCCCATATTAAAAAACTTTTATTATCAAAAATTTCCACAAGATTAAAAACATATTATCAGGAAAAATAGCGTGTTACATTTATTACATTAGAATACAAACTACACAGCAAGTTTTTCACACAAATAATGTCTTCAGCTTACGTTTTGCATCAAGGACTTGAAGACTAAAAAATTGGCTGCCCCAAAGTAAACGTGCAACGCACCATGACATGCATGATGGCATTTGGGTAGGTCCTGAAGGCGCTGGTCAGAACTTTAAAGTTGCACTCGGATTTGAAGTACATATTTCTCAAGTTAAGTCGTACATTTTTTCTTGTTTTAGTCCGTCCATGTCGACTGGAGAGAGCGAAGAGGAGGTGTCGGAGGAGGTGGACAATTCAATTCATAGATCGTCAGACTCGGTCGAACGCTCAAGAGACTCTGTTGACGGTCGAAACAGAGACAGGTCGTCTTCCCTTCGTCCCGCCCTGTTCCATCAGCAGGCTTGTCAGCCTGTGGAGGCGGTAAACCAGCTGGCTAAAAGTGTGTCAACTCCGCATATTGCTGAGAATGGTACTTCACAAACTAGTACAGAGGAATACAGCACAAGCAGCTCTAAGTCCCCGTAAGTAATAAATTATTGTACAATTGACATAACAAAAAAAATAGTTTAACTAAAAACTATCCACGCTTAAAAGATAGAGGTATTTTCAAGGGAGTCTCTATTTGAGGGATAGCATTTCCAGTTCACTAATGTAACCTTTAGTATTCGTTTATAGTGGATATTTCATAATATTCTTTTTTTTATGATCAGAAAGTTACTTTTGAAAACATTCATAACTGTTTCGAGGATTTTTGGTAATAAAGGCGACATTTTCATGTTTTCCAGGAATGTTCGAAAATCCAGCGCCAGCCGTGAAAACAAGTTGTAAGCGAAATATCAATTAAAAAAAAATATCAACTATATACGAATGCGTCGAAAAACAATCGATGATTATAGGTTGTATTATCTAATGATTTGTTTGGAATTAAATCGATGTTTTTACGATCCGAGTCGAATATTGCAAGTTTCTGAATTTGTATGGACGCTACGTTCCTCGGTATGAGTCGTTTATAACAGAATGAAGTATGATTATTAGCAATCACCATCGAATATTTTTCGACGTAAGCCTATACCCCATTCATTTTTCGCGAACACTCCCTTTAATCGAAATAACAATGAGAATGATATAGTCGGTTTCTTAACCCTAATGTATAAATCCGCAAATGAGAGGATAAAATCCAGGAAAACTCATTTTTTATCAGACAAAGTTTTAAGAGTTTTGAGAATGGGGCAGGCCGCAGGAAGCTCTTAAAATGGAGGGTCACCTGAACATACCTCAACAATCTTTTTAAAATTGTTATCAAAATTTCTAAAATTGTTTTTTTTAGCCGCCGCCGCCCTCCGGAGCCAACTCATGTCTTTATTCAGAAGCTTATTGCTGAGCATGGGTATGTATTTTGTATTTTTGTTGTTGTGAAAATAACACCTTTTTAGCGTTTTTGACCAAGGTTGAATATTTTTACAATCATGTATCGTCATTATATTGCGGACTATTTTGAGAATATTTTTACAATCATGTATCGTCATTATATTGCGTACTATTTTGAGAATATTTTTACAATCATGTATCGTCATTAAATTGCGTACTATTTTGAGAATATTTTTACAATCATGTATCGTCATTATATTGCGTACTATTTTGAGAATATTTTTACAATCATGTATCGTCATTATATTGCGTACTATTTTGAGATTAATTTTTTAATTGTGAATCTTAGAGTTAAATTTATTTAGTCATAAAAATTTAGACTTAAGTTGTCAACATGATAAATCATCATCCTAAAAAATTAGAATTATTATTAAAAATATCTATTATCATTCATAATATTATTAACGACTGGGTTAAAAGTGATCTTTTTTTCGTCTACTAGTGCAAAAACTGTAATTAAGTTTAAAAAATGGCAAATATTTAGCTTCTATTTTTATATATTTGTCTACTCCAATACCTAGCTTGTATGCATGTATGGTTGTTAATTGTTAAGTTTTGTTTTTGGTTCTTTTTAAGACTTTAAAAGATTCCAGAAATATCTTAAGTTTTTCACATTTACACATTGTTTATTCTAACTTAAAATGTATTTTTCTGTCATTATCAAATCAAATATCTGAACAATCCCTTGAACTAGTTCAAATATCTGAACAATCCCTTGAACTAGTTCAAATATCTGAACAATCCCTTGAACTAGTTCAACTCAAATATCTGAACAAAATCCCTTGAACTAGATCAACTCAAATATCTGAACAATCCCTTGAACTAGTTCAAATATCTGAACAATCCCTTGAACTAGTTCAAATATCTGAACAATCCCTTGAACTAGTTCAAATATCTGAACAATCCCTTGAACTAATTCAACTCAAATATCTGAACAATTTCTTGAACTAGATCAAATATCTGAACAATCCTTTGAACTAGTTCAACTCAAATATCTGAACAATCCCTTGAACTAGTTCAAATATCTGAACAATCTCTTGAGCTTGTTCAAATATCTGAACAATCCCTTGAACTAGTTCAAATATCTGAACAGTCCCTTGAATAGTTCAAATATCTGAACAATCCCTTAAACTAGTTCAAATATCTGAACAGTCCCTTGAATAGTTCAAATATCTGAACAATACCTTGAACTAGTTAAAATATCTGAACAATCCCTTGAACTAGTTCAAATATCTGAACAATCCCTTGAACTAGTTCAAATATCTGAACAATCCCTTGAACTAGTTCAAATATCTGAACAATCCCTTGAACTAGTTCAAATATCTGAACAATCCCTTAAACCAGTTAACAGGTCCAAATTACTGTTATCTGAAACGTAGTTTCAAATAAAAAAGGTCTATTAGTAACAAGATCCAGGTTATTTATAATTTCTCGATACAACTGGACATCTGTATTGGGTTATTAAATAGAACTGTAAATACGTATTAGGTTTATGGATAGAACTGGATATCTGTATTATATCTATGGATATAACTGGATATCTGTATTAGGTCTATGGATAGAACTGGATATCTGTATTGGGTTATTACATAGAACTGTAAATACGTATTAGGTTTATGGATAGAACTGGATATCTGTATTATATCTATGGATATAACTGGATATCTGTATTAGGTTTTTGGATAGAACTGGATATCTGTATTATGTCTATGGATATAACTGGATATCTGTATTAGGTTTATGGATTGAACTGGATATCTGTATTATGTCTATGGATAGAACTGGATATCTGTATTAGGTTTATGGATAGAACTGTATATACGTATTAGGTTTATGGATAGATCTGGATATCTGTATTAGGTCTATGGATAGAACTGGATATTTGTATTAGGTTATTAAATAGAACTGGATATCCGTATTAGGTTTTTGGATAGAACTGGATATATGTATTATGTCTATGGATAGAACTGGATATCTGTATTAGGTTTATTGATAGAAATGGATAGCTGTATTAGATTCATTGATAGAACTGGATATCTTCATTAGGTTATTGAATAGAACTAGATATCTGCATTTGGTCTATGGATAGAACTGGATATCTGTATTAGGTTATTAAATAGAACTGGATATCTGTATTAGGTTTATAGATAGAACTGGATAGCTGTATTAGATCCATTGATAAAACTGGATATCTGTATTAGGTTTATAGATAGAACTGGATAGCTGTATTAGATCTATTGATAGAACTGGATATCTTCGTTAGGTTATTGAATAGAACTGGATATCTGCATTTGGTCTATGGATAGAACTGGATATCTGTATTAGGTTATAAAATAGAACTGGATATCTGTATTAGATTATTAAATAGAACTGGATATCTGTATAGGTCTATGGATAGACCTGGATATCAGTATAGGGGCCATGCATAGAGCTGGATATTCAGTTCTATAGAAAAGAACTCTATAAACAAGGTTTCTATCTAGGTTTATAGATAAACTAGGTTTTTATCTAGTTCTTTGTATAGAAACTAGGTTTCTATCTAGGTCTATAGATAAACTATGTTTCTATCTAGTTCTATGTATAGAAACTATGTTTCTATCTAGCTCTATGCATAGAACCGGGTTTCTATCTAGTTCTATGCATAGTACTGGTTTTCTATACAGTTCTACACACAGAACAGGGTTTTATGGGGTTTCTATTTAGGTCTTTGATAGTACTCGATTTTTATACAAGCTATGGATAGAACAGAGAACTGGGTTTCTATAAAGTTCAATAATAAGAACTCGCTCTATTTCTCACCCCCCCCCCCTTCTTAGATTCTCTAAAGTTTTGTCTCTGTGTACTACTACTCTACGTACATTTTTCTCCTATTTCATTGAGAAACTAGAGATCTGTCCCTGATAAATTTAACAGTTTGAAACCCGGAACTTCATTAAATACCTGAAATTCTTTGAACCGGAGATTCCTGGTCATTTGATATCATCATTTTCTTCTTAAGCTAATGTGACGCCATGTTTTATGTAAACTTTAAATAGTATTTGTTAAAAGTCATCAAACCCCTTCGTAAAATTAGACGATTTAATAAACTTTATTTATTTCATAAAATAACTGATTATATTTTAGTTTCTTATTCTAAATGAATTCTCTTGTCATTGTGTGTGACTTTTAAACTTACATTAGATGATTCACAACTCTACCTTTAACACCTTAATAAAGAACATGGTAATGAAGATCTACATTTGCTACTTTTAAGTTGGCCTGCCACAGTTTTGGCTCGGATAGTATCCTTGTATAACAGAGATAAGAAACGACAGGAAATTTCGAAGTTTTGGAACTTTTGTGGTTACTTCTTTGCCTCTAAATTTTTTAATCACTTTCTTGTCGTTTCTGTTTTATCTTTGTTTAATTATATTTTGTTGTGAATTTTTCATGCCGATCTTTAAACAAAGTGTCACTTAAGATAATCCCATTACAATTAATGTCAAATAAAAAGCTAAATCTTAAATCAATTAATCAGTTATAAAAGCACTTCTTAACTGTTTTTGTTTTCAACCAGATTTTTCCCTTTATAAATATTTATTAGTTTGGATGAAGAAAAGAAATATTTGTACATGTTCCGTTATTAGTTGATAGTGTGTGTTAGTGAGGTATTATTATATCAGTCGAGTGAAACATAATGCGAGGGAGGAGAATTCTTTTATAGGTTATCAGTTTAGTTGCTAACAGAGATAATATATATATCTTCTAGTATATTATCCTCAAATATATTACCCTGTAGTCTATTATCCTCTGCTAGTCTATTATCCCTAAGTATATTATCCTCTAGTGAATTATCTTCTAGTATTTTATCGTCTTACATATTATCGTTTAGTATATTATCCTGTAGTAAATTATACTGTGGTATATTATCCTGTAGCATATTATCCTCTAAATTATTATCCTAGAGTATATTATTCTCTAGTTTATTATCCTAGGTCTAGTAGATATGTTATCCTCTAGTATATTATCCTCCAGTTTATTTTCTACTGGTGTATTTAATTAAATTGTTATCTACTGGATTATCTATTATTTTATTATTATCTACTGGCTTATCTACTAGCTTGTCCGCTTGTTTATTATCTACTGGCGAATATTCTTGGTTATTATCTACTGGCTTATCCACTGGCGTATATTCTCGTTTATTATTTACTGGCTTGTCTACTATTTTATTTTATACTTGCCTATTTACTTTGTATGTTATCTGCTAGATTATCTATCTTTTTATAATCTAATGGATTATCTAATATTTATATATCTACTGGAGTATCTACTAATTTACTATATTATTCATTAAGTTTATGTTCAAAGTTTACGACGTAGGTAAGCGGGGCAATTGTGTTCTCTTTCCTCTGATTAAAATATCAAAATATTCAACAAATCTGCTTCTCGCCCGTAAACCTCCGTAAGAGAAAAAGAGAGCGTGTGATGAGAGGAAAACTCAGAAAATTTCGGAGTTCTCCTAGAATCCGTGATTTGAGAACATCTTAGTTCATGTTCAGTTCATATACAGTTCATATTCAGTTTGTGTTCAGTTCATATTCAGTTCATAATCAGTTTAGTTCATATTCAGTTCATAATCAGTTCATATTCAGTTCATAATCAGTTCATATACAGTTCATATTCAGTTTATGTTCTTTTCATATTCAGTTCATAATCAGTTCAGTTCATATTCAGTTCATGTTCACTTCATATTTAGTTCATTTTCAGTTCATATTCAGTTTCTATTCAGTTCATATTCAGTTCCTGTTCAGTTCATGTTCACGTTCATGTTCAGTTCATATTCAGTTCATATTCAGTTCATATTCAGTTATTCAGTTCATATTCAGTTGATAATCAGTTCAGTTCATATTCAGTTCATATTCAGTTCATATTCAGTTCATATTCAGTTCATATTCAGTTCATATTCTGCTCGTATACAGATCATATTCAGTTCATGTTCAGTTCATGTTCAGTTCATGTTCAGTTCATGTTCAGTTCATGTTCAGTTCATATTCAGTTCGTATACAGATTATATTCAGTTCATATTCAGTTCATATTCAGTTCATATACGGTTCATGTTCAGTTCATATTCGTTCATATTATGTTCATTTCTGCATGTTCAGTTCATGCTCAGTTCATAAAAACTACTTTTTTGATATTTTGATATTTTAATTAAAACTTTAAAAGCAATGCTTAGGAATTTGGATACAGCGTATCTGCATTTTTTAGATCAAGATTTGGACAACTTAAAATCAACAAAATAAACTAAACAGGGGCTTTAGGCCTTTACTCATAAGCACAAATAAAGGATTTGCGGGGGAGGAGGGGATTTTTTTTATTATGAAAAATTCTGTGTAAGAACACTTTTCTAAATGTATATGAAAAACAAAAAGTGGAAAATTAAGTTCTTTTTAGAACAATGCCATAAAAATTAGGTTTTTTAAACTTTAGATATTGAAATGAAACCCAGGTTTATGGGGGGGGGGTAATTAGCTGAAGTGGCAATGGGAATTAGTGGAATAAGTTCTTTTTTGTATTGGTTTAAAAAGAAAGAAAAAACTGAATTGAGGAGTAATAGTTTTCCCTGAAACTCTCGGTTTTTTTTTTTAATAAAATTTGATTTTATTGGGAATCACCCCCCCCCTCCCTTCAGTGATTCTGTTCCACCCAATGAAATATATTCAACGCTAGTCTTACTTCGTTAATTTCTAAACTGGGAAAGCTCCGACGGCCAGGGTTTAGAAAAATTATAATGATTATGTTGAGAGAACTGTTTCTTCGGAATATTATTTAGTTATTTAGTTTGATTTTTTAAATATATAATTCTGCGGAATATCTAAAGTTGGCAAAATTCTTCTTAAAAATCATTTTATGAATCTCTTGGATTGTATTTTAAACAGTTCTGTACAAATGTAAATTTATAACACAGGGTTGCCCATTTCTGCATTGCATATAGTTTTTAAGGGATATACTTCACGATTTGACAAATATGAAATCAAGTTAAAAGTTGCAGGGCCAGGACCAAGAATGAAAGATTGAGAAAAATTTCGCACACTCATCTCTGAAGTCTCATCCTTTGTGGGTAACCCTGTATTACTGCGAATTAATCTGTCAGCTTTACACTGAAAAACAAGATGTGCACGCACTCATGATAAAATCGACCAGTATTTTGCCAATTACTCATTTAAAGGGAGTGACCGGCTATGTAAGGTAGTTGAACTGAGTATGCAGTGTTGTGGAAAACTTCTTTCGGATTCATTTGAGACATATTAAACTTTTTAAAGATCTGTAAATCCTGAGTTTGAGCGCAAATTCGACGTTCAAAACTCCTACTTACGTTTTCAGAATTAGTTTTTTTAAAATTATTAAATAAGGACAACGAAAAATAAAGTAAAAATTATACAGTAATTTAATTAGATGGTTAAGAACATATTTCTCAAAAGAAATTTGTCAATAAATCAATGCTAAAATCGATTATTTCGTTTTCATTATTGTATTGAATTTCTTATTTTCTTTGAATTTATTCGCAGATTTCTTCAAATTCTTCAAATGTCGTCTTTTCAATAATAATTCTAGAAAATCTGCAGAAAATATTTTTGAATTATGAGACACCAGAAAAATGAGAAAATAGAAAGTAGGAGTTATGAACTTCAAATTTGCGCTCAAACTCAGGATTAACAGATCTGTAAAAAGTTTAATGTGTCTCAAATGAATCCGAAAGAAGTTTACCACAACACTGCATACTCAGTTCAACTACCTTACATAGCCGGTCACTCCCTTTAAGCTAGAAACAAGCGTGTTGAATTTTGATAATAATTATGTATTGGGCTATCAAAAAAAAAGTACGAGTGAGCTGATAAAACGATAAAACCAAAGGCCAAGTCGATGCGATACTTTTAAGTCGAGGGTGTCTAACAATTAGATGATAAAATTCCAGAATTGTTTAAATCTCAGTGTTCACCCTATCCATATCTCTATCCATATCCCTATCCCTATCCATATCCCTATCCATATCCATATCCCTATCCATATCGATTTAGAACACATTTTTAGAAGCATGTATTTTTAAACTTTAAAAATAACCCCTAGAAAAGTTGTTCAATTTATGGACTTTTAATAAAAAGAATTTTAAACCGAATTAATATCGTTCCGCTTCATATAAAATATTTTAGCTAGTGACCTAATTATTCTTAGGTCAGATGTTTTTTTACCATATCAACCTTAAGTGATGTGAAATTAAATAATTGTGCCCCATGTGGATATTTCATGATTTGTTCTGTGATTGTAAATGGTAGATAGGAAGTACATAAAACTCTGATAAGATTTGATTATATTTGATTTGATGTGTCTTAACATAATAACTGAACTGGAATGTGGAATGTGCAGATGTCAGTTGATAAATGTTTATTTACATTTCAACCCGTTGACTTCGTATAAATATCCGTAATGCCCCCAAAGTCTTCTTCAATCTGAGAGAAATTAATGATTTTATATATTAGTTGTCAAATCTGTAATATTTGTCAATTATGTAATAGTTGTCAATTCTGAAATATTTGTTAATTCTGTAATATTTTTCAATTCTGTAATGTTTGTCAAATCTGTAATATTTGTCAAATCTGTAATATTAGTCAATTCTGTAATATTTGTCAAATCTGTAATATTTTTAATTCTGTAATATTTGTCAAATCTGTAATATTTGTCAAATCTGTAATATTTGTCAATTCTGTAATATTTGTCAATTCTGTAATATTTGTCAATTCTGTAATATTTGTCAATTCTGTAATATTGGTCAATTCTGTAATATTTGTCAATTCTGTAATATTGGTCAATTCTGTAATATTTGTCAATTCTGTAATGTTTGTCAATTTTGTAATGTTTGTCAATTTTGTAATATTTTTCAATTCTGTAATATTTGTCAATTCTGTAATGTTTGTCAATTCTGTAATATTGGTCAATTCTGTACTATTTGTCAATTCTGTAATATTTTTCAATTCTGTAATGTTTGTCAATTCTGTAATATTTGTCAATTCTGTAATGTTTGTCAATTCTGTAATATTTGTCAAATCTGTAATATTTGTCAAATCTGTAATATTTGTCAATCTGTAATATTGGTCAATTTTGTAATATTTGTCAATTCTGTAATATTGGTCAATTTTGTAATATTTGTCAATTCTGTAATATTTGTCAATTCTGTAATATTTGTCAATTCTGTAATGCTTGTCAATTCTGTAATATTTGTCATAATGATTTTTGTTCCAGATGGAGTAAGCAAGGGAGTGGGACGGATTCTGAAACTGAAGGAGACGAAGTCCAGCGTCCTGTTCTACTACATCATCCTCCACCGAGGTTAGTCATAAACAGAGAAAGATTAATAATTTATGGATGTTGAAGTTCTGACCAAACCTCTAGTATTTACTTTAAAAGGAATTTATAGGATCCATCAGGGTTCAGGTAGATTTAAAATTCAGTGATGGTGATGGACCAAACCTCTGTAGAGTAAAAAAGTAGATGTTAGTTCCACATTTATTGAAAATATATTTCGGTCTGGGTTGACCCTCGTCAGTTCTAACGATATAATAACCATCAAAATCGATTAAAAAAATAAAAAAAATGTAAAAATCACAAGAATATAAACAAACAAAAAGATTATTCAAAATAAAAATTTGGGCTGTCAAATGGACATAAGGGAAAAGAACTCAGATTATGAGATGGGAAAAAGATAATTTGCAAATATTCACTTTCTAAAAAAATGTTTTTAGACAATTATTATTCCTTGAGATTGTTTCTTCACAAAGATTAAAAACAAACTGTGTCATGACGGGAGTAAAATTAATCATGACCGAAGTATGATTAGTCATGACCGGATTTTTATTTTTATGTTTGGAACAAAGTTTTTTTCAGATACTTAATTTTGTTTGTCAAGAACCACAAAAGTGAAGTTTTTATACAAAATAATGAGAAAATGCTCATTCATTTCAAAGAAAATTAATTTTCAGAAAGAGTCCCAAAAACTTTTTTTAATCATAAAACCTCCTTTTGTTATTCGTATTAAGTTTAACCTATTTTAGGCCCCTTTCTCAGCCACAGCAACATCATCCGCAACAACAACAACATCATGCTTCACCACAGCTCACTTTAGCAGAATTCTTGCAAAAGTAATTATTTACAATTTTATTTTGTCAGTTATACATCAGTGTATAGGATCCGGATCCGTTGGATCCGCAATATTTTGGCTTACTGGAAACGGATCCAGATCCTAGGGGCAAAATATCGTCCAAAAACTTTAAAAAACTTTTAGTCTCAAATCTGAACTGTTAAAAAAGATATTTTTAAAAATTCCTGATCTCGGAATGGTTCATAAAGTTTTAGCAAAAAAGAAAGTTAAAGGAATGTTAATGTCTTGGATCCCGCATCCATTTTTTCCAGTGCGGATCCAGGATCCTGGGCACTGTTAACAATCATTTTCTTAAACATTTGTTTAGTCAAGCTCTCGCTGAAGAGGATCCTAGAAAACGGCGACGGAACAAGAAGGAGCGCGGGGGAAGTCTCTTCTCCCTGCGCAAGAAGAAGGATAAAAAGGAGACTGGGAAGGGTTTGACTAAAGCTGGAAGCGCGGCATCTCTCTCTAGGCCGATCAGCGCGCCCCGTGTTCCTCAGCACAGCTACAGCATGTCCAGCATTAAGCGCTATCCACCCAGCTCATCCCAGTTCTACCTGGCCCGCTCAGAAAGCAGGTATGAACTTGCATAAATATACGTGTGTACCACAACCCTCTGTAAATAGTATTTATGTACTTGGTTATTCAACAAACAAAGAACTTAACTTTTTTTTGAAAAATTAACTTTGTAACAAAAATTTACTTTGAAATATGCGTGTTTAAAAAAAAATTCAATATGTTTGAATATTTTGTGTGTCATTTTACGTAATGTGTAAGGCAATTATAAGTGTTGTGTTTATTGATTAACCTTGTACATTGTACACTGTACAAGTAGTAATTGGAATTATGTAAATACGTTTAACAACAATGATAATATCGTAACAACAAATTAACCCTTTTACTCCTCAATTCTTCTGATAATCATCTCTTCTAATCCTCATCTATTCTGATCCTCATCTCTTCTAATTCTAAGCTCTTCTAATCCTTGACTTCTCTATTTCTCAACTCTATTAATCCTCACTTCTTCTATTCCTCTACTTTTCTAATCCTAGTCTCTTCTAATCCTCATCTCTTTTAATCCTCATCTTTTCTAAACCTCATCTCTTATATTTTTTAACTCTTCTTCTATTTTCAACTCTTCTATTTCTCAATTTTTCTAATCCTAAACTCTTCTAATCCCCAATTCTTTTTTCTAAGTCCGTAATTATCTTTTTCATTCTCTTTTTTTTCTTAATTCAAGTCTCTTCCCGGGTTTTCCCTCCTCTTATATCCTACACTTGACCAGTCATTAGTCCTCACTGTACATAATAAATATTGTAAAATCAGGGAATTTAAGAAACAGATCTTTTCAAAATACAATCGTACGCCGACGTACTAGAATTTAATCCTTATTCGATATCTGCACTGTAGTTGTACCCTGAAGGAATAATTGCAGTGAAGAGATTATAAGCATTTATCCTGAAATTGAAAATTTTGCAGAGGATTTATGGATTTTGAGAATCTAACACAATCATCTTGTTCATCTCGTATTTCGCGGATTTTTTGTTTCTTAGAACTGCTTAATATTGATGAACCTCTTTCCCTACACTATAGTATAGCAGAGTAGATTAATATATTAAATAATGGTTTAATGCTACCCGCTAAATCAATGTTAGAATCATATCTTTAGAGCTTCACCCTTGTATGCCATTTTAAATATAAGGTTATAGACAGTAAAACGTTAACTTCCGTGAAATTAGAGGTCTTTTGTTTCAATTTATCTAAATTTGGGTTACATTTATATAGATTAAATCAGAGGGGTTCGGTTTACATTTATCTAGATTTAATCAGAGGTGTTTGGTTTACATTTATCTAGATTTAATCAGAGGGAGGTTCGGTTTACATTTATCTAGATTTAATCAGAGGGGTTCGGTTTACATTTATATAGATTAAATCAGAGGGGTTTGGTTTACATTTATCTAAATTTAATCAGAGGGGTTTGGTTTACATTTATCTAGATTTAATCAGAGGGAGGTTTGGTTTACATTTATCTAGATTAAATCAGAGGGAGGTTTGGTTTACATTTATCTAAATTTAATCAGNTTTATAATAAAGGAATTAAAGGTCTATAATTCCTAAGCACCACACTAGAAAATTGTATTTTTAACATCATTAATATTTATTTATCAATCTCAACCTTGGTCTAAATAAACTAACAATTACTGGTAGTTATTCGATCCTTCCTCCCCCTTACAGCCATTACATCTTAGTTTATGATAATTCCCTAGAATACTATTAATCGACCCTCCTTCCCTCAATTCTTAAATCCACTGAAAATATATAAAAGCTAGGGATCTGACCCAAAAAATTAAATTGTCAGGAGGGGGTCGAGGAATACTATTCAAAGTTTAGTCAAAATCTAATCTTAAGCGTTCAACATTTTATTGGATGTCAACTCTGGAGTCTGGTTTGATTATAGGGAGAAAAGAAAAGTTTTCACTCATCCTGTAATCTTTAGGTTTCCAGTTTTACTTTTCCTGTAAGACAAAACCATCAAAATATTTAAAATGAATATTTTCTTTCTCTTTTTTCCAAGTTTTAACCCGTCCTTGCTTACTCAGTTCGCCGCTACCTAAAGAGAGCAGTGGTTGGTTAAATCCCCTCAGAGCTAGTCCAATTCTTGGCTCCACCCCTAGGGGGCGTTCCTCCCCATCCCCAGCCAGGAGGGCGGGGAACCGATGGAGGCGGGTTGGTACAAAGCTTGGAGTCATGTAAGTCCTGCGTGTTACGCAGTTCTGTGTGCATGTCTGTACTGTGCTCTTACTAAAGTAGTTTTTTTTTGTTACATGTTGATTTTTTGTTTGCATTTTGTAACACACTAGATTTTTAATATATTCATTTTTAAGAATATTCTCGTACAAATATCTTCTTTAAGGACGGTAAATATTGATAATTTTACAATTGATTTATTTCTTACTGTTTAAACTTAATACTTTTCAAATTAATTTTAGCCAAAAAGAGTGTGATTTAATTAAAATATTTTTTATTTGTTTCAGCATGAATTCAGCTAGTTTTTTATTTCATTTAATTAAACTAACAAATCAGTAGAATTCTGTTCAGAATAAAATTTTTCGTGAGTCAACTAGAAAAATATAACTTATTTACTAGTAATTTTGTGGATAACAATTAAGAATACAATTAGAAAAGAAGAAAAAGATGAAGAAAACTGAAGAATAGGATCGAGAAAAGATAATATAAATATGGAAAAAGCTTTTAGTCGAAAAGTAGAGTTGTAAAGTATGATGTCAAGAATAATATAGTAATATGACATAACATAAGAAGAATCATAAATAATAAATGAAAAATGAAAAAAATGAAGAGGAAAAAATAGACGGAGAGATGGATAAGATTAAAGAACAGAAGAAAGAGACTTGGAAAAAACCATTAAGATGAGTATTATAACAGAAAAAAATATCAAGAATTTTAGAGTGTCGGCCCCGACCGAAATTTATTTTTGAACTGTGAAACTTTCATCCACTTTATTTACTCTACGAGGTTTGGATCATCATTAACACTGACTTTTAAAAAATAAAGAACATTTGAGTGGAATTTAGAATAAAAAACATTTAAATGAGATGAAGGACAGAAAAATGAGATGTAGAATAAGGACAGAAGAATGAGATTTAGAATAAAGGACAGAAGAATGAGATTTAGAATAAAGGACAGAAGAATGAGATTTTGAATAAAGGACAGAAGAACGAGATTTAGATTAAAGAACAGAAAAATGAGATTTATAATAAAGGATATTAGAATCAAATTTAGCAGGAAAAACCAAAGAATGAGATTTCTAATAAAGGATATTATAATGAGATTTAGAATTAAGAAAAGGAGAATTAGATTTAGAATAACGGATAGAAGAATAAGAATTAGAATGAATACAAAAAGAATGAGGTTTATAATGCAGAACAAAAAAAATAGTTTTATAATAAGTAACATAATAATAAGATTTAAAATACAGAACATAGAATGAGATTTATGATAAAGGACAGAAGAATGAGATTTAGAATAAAGGACAGAAGAATGAGATTTATGATAAAGGACAGAAGAATAAGATTTTGAATAAAGGACAGAAGAATGAGATTATAATAAAGGACAGACGAATGAGATTTATATTAAAGGACAGAAGAATTTAATTTATAGTAAAGAACATTAGAAAGGAAAGTAGAATGAGATTTAGAATTATGGATAGAAGAATGAGATTTAGAAAAAAGGACATTTCAATGAATATTGTAAAAAAGAAGATTGAATGAGATTTATGATAAAGAACATTAGAATGAGATTTATGAGAAAGAACATTAGAATGATATCTATAATAAGGGATAAAATAATGAGATTTATAATGAAGAACATTAGAATGAGAGGACATATATATATATAACACTTTTTTCCAGTGACGTTTTTTATTTATTATTTTTTTAAAAAAAATTCTCCGTTTTTTAAGTGTTGTTTTTTTAATAATAATTTTCTACCAATTTTATTTATTTTTATTTATTAATGCATTAATTTCATTTTGATATTTCTTGTTTAGTAAATCAACAACGGAGGATAAAGAGGATGTGGACGGAGAGAAGGAGAATCTACTTGAGAGTGAAATCCTACCTGGAGAAGAATTCCCGGAATCATTCCCGCTCTCCTTCAGGAACCTGGACGCTGACCCATACCTTCGTCTTCAGGTAAACATTCCCGCTCTCCTTCAGGAACCTGGACGCTGACCCATACCTTCGTCTTCAGGTAAACATTCCCGCTCTCCTTCAGGAACCTGGACGCTGACCCATACCTTCGTCTTCAGGTAAACATTCCCGCTCTCCTTCAGGGACCTGGACGCTGACTACCTTCGTCTTCAGGTAAACATTCCCGCTCTCCTTCAGGGACCTGGACGCTGACCCATACCTTCGTCTTCAGGTAAACATTCCCGCTCTCCTTCGGGGACCTGAACACAGAAAATATTTTTTTTTCAACCGTGCTTTCTGATATATTCTAGGTCAAAAATATCTTGACTAAAGAATATTTTTGCTTAATGTTGAGAAATGAAGAAATTGGTCTAAATTATACTCATTTGGATTGTATAGATTTAAATTGGAGAAAATTGATAATGATATTAATATTACTAGTAATAACAAAACAATCCTGTTCTAGAAAGAGGAACCAGATACCTGGGCTAACTCCGTCCCACAAGGGATGGCCTCTGCACTGAAACCTCACGAGGCTAAACGCCAGGAACATATTTATGAGTTTATTATGACAGAAAAGCATCACTGCCAGCTACTTAAGGTAAAGATTGAGATATTTTTTAAGGTTTATCATCATATTTGGTTCGAATTTAATGTAGCATAGGATGGATATTTTATTGACTTTGCGTTGCAGTTAGAACATACTAATGTACCGAGCGCTGTGGTTAGGAAATTTTAAGGCCTTCTTTTTGAAAATGTTTATTGACTTTGATGCATTTTTTTTTTAAATGTTTATTTTTTTCAATATGTAAAGGCACTGAAATGTCAACATTCAGCAGAAATTTGAATTTTCAAATTGTTATATCTTTGAATTTCAAACTATGAATTCCGTTAGACAAAATAATAAGTTTGAGGTAATTTCCTAGAGAACGATTTTTGTACATGGATCTCATATGTAACACATGGATATAATTGGTCATGTGGCCGCAGCGCTCGTCCCCTAGCCTTTCCTAGCCGCAGCGCTCGGTCCAGAAATTTTCCTAACCTAACCCTAAAATAATAAAAAATAAATAATAATAATTTTGCTGAAAAATAAGTGGTCATGTACAAAATTGATATGAGGGGGGGGGGTCCAAAAATCGTTCTCTAGGACAGACCCAAGTTCAAAATATAAAAGGTTTATGCCACAAGGCCACAAATATACATGGATCAGAAAATAAGATTTTCTTGCGAGTTTCAGTTTCTTTCTCATTAATTTTTCTTGCCAGCATTGTTTAACTTGCATCTTTTTCTTTTTGTTGTAAATTTCGAGATTTAATTATCTTAGATTATAAATAATACAACCATTTTGTTTCATGTTACTTTCCAAGTAATCATATCTAATTAGAATTCGAGCTTTACAAAATACGTCTTTTAAGGGAGTGTTCGCGAAAAATGAAAGGGGTATAGGCATACGGCGAAAAATAAGCGCTTTTGATCGCTACTAATCTTACTTCTATCTGTTGCGTCTATAAGGAGAAAATTGTTAAAAACGACTCATACCGAATAACCTAGCTTCCACCCAAATTGAGAAAATTGCAATCCATGAGTAAGATCGTATAAAAATCGATTTATTATCAAACAAATCATTTAGCTATTACAACCTGTAATCATCGATTATTTTTCGATGCATTGGCATATAGTTGACATTTCATAACATTTTGTATTTGTTGTATATACAATGCACTTAAAACGCCGATTAGTTTGTCCGCCAGGTGTCTCTGCTCTCGATGCTCTTAATGATTCCACGTGGCAGAGACACCTAGCGGGAAAAACCGTTGTTTTAAGTGCATTGTTTATAAAAGAAGTAAAATATATTATGAAAAATTAACTATATACAAATGTGACGAAAAATAATCGATGACTATAGGTTGCAATATCTGAATGATTTGTTTGAAATTAAATTGATTTTTTTTACGATCCGAGTCGTTTATAACAACGTTCTCAATTTGGGTGGATGCTATGTTATTCAGCATAAGTCGGTTTTAGCAATTTTCTCCTTATAGACGCAACGTACATAGAAGTAAGATTGGTAGCGATCAAAAGAGCTTATTCTTCGTCGTAAGCCTATACCCCCTTTCATTTTCGCGAACACTCCCTTTAACATTTAATCCAGTCCCTCTTTCTCCTGAATTTAAAAAATAAGATTTTTACTTGTTGTTTAAGAGGTATATATCTTAAGTCACTTTTAATTTTTTTAACGACATTCCGAAAAAAAAAGTTTTTTAAATTCTGTTTGATGTTCAGGTGATCCAAAAGGTATTCTGTGAGGGGTTGGTCACCTACCTTGACATGAAGCAGGAGATCGTCGACAGATTGTTCCCGCAGCTTGATACTCTCATCAGTATTCATTTTGAGTTCCTTCGACAACTTAGGATTCGACAGGTAAATTTCGAGTTCCTTCGACAGGTACATTTCAAGGATAGTACTGGTAGATTTAGTAAGTTCGACACTCGACATCTTAGGACTGGACAGCTTCGGATTTGATCAGTTGATTTTGATTTCTTTGAAAGCTTAGGATATGACAGATAGGTTTCCAGTTCGTTCTACAGATCAGGATTTGACAGGAAGATTCGAGTTCGTTCAACGAATCATGCTAGATGTTTCGTTTTATGCTTTAATCCCAGAACTTTGATATAGAAACTTTATGTTGGTTGGAGTGACTTAATTTTTTAAAAAGTTAGAAATATGTTTTTACTCTACAAGTGTTCAGTACTTCTTATCAGAAGTATCGAAATGAGTCTTAACTTTAATTTATATGCATTTAAAAAGAAATATTGAGGGTTAAGATGAAAAATGATTATTTTAAAAATATTCTAGGATTCTACATCAGTGATTCCTTCTATTGCTGACGTTTTGTTGGAACAGTTTCACAGTGATACAGCAGTCAGGTGGCAGCAGGCCTACGGGGTCTTCTGTTCACAGCACAGCGATGCGGTCAACGTATACAAGGACTTACTTAAAAGTGATAGAAGGTGAAAAGAAATTTTACTTAAGGGTGGCACTTAGTGGGGGGTGTAGGGGAACTGTGCGCTGTATAATCTGAGAATACTAAAATAAGGGTTGAATATTAAGCTAAATTTGTAATTTTATCATTTTTCTTAGTGGGGTGGTTATTGTTCATCAAGTCTGTAGCATGATAAGGGGCTGGGCGCATTATAGGGCGGCTAAAAGTACTCTACGGCTGTTACCGAATTTATTAATAGGGTAACTATGCCTTGCCTTTAAATATATAAAGATAAAAGAAATATTTTTTGATGACAAATGTTTTATTTTCAGGTTTCATGAATTTGTTCAGCAATCTAGTCACAACCCTCTGCTACGAAAGATGGGTATACCAGAGTGTATTCTTACAGTCACCACAAGGAATAAAACATAACTTAATTTTTTAATATTTAAAACAAATTTCAGATTTTTTATTCATCATTCATAGCCTCTTTTTGTTTGTTTGCCTTATGGTTTAACGCTAACAGTATGTGATTGCTTGATTCTTTTTGTTAAGTTTTATGGTTCAATGTTTTATTGTGTCCAGGATAACTAAATATCCGCTTTTAATCGAACCCTTGATCAAGACGGCAAAAGATCGGCCAGATGAGCAGCAAAAGCTGCGGAACTGCTTACACCTTGTCAAATCAATCCTTATTGACGTTAATGGACAGGTAACTCAACATTTTGAATATTTATTTTATATTTATTGACCAATTTCTTATCGCACAGGTTGCAGAAAAAGAAAGAGGCCAGCGTCTTATTGAAATATACAACCGTCTTGACGCAAAAAGCTTCCTCTCCGTCGACGGACGAAAATTTAAGAAATCTGACTTCTTGTTGGACAACCGGAAGCTGTTGTTTGAGGGCGTGGCAACCCTGGTTAATCCTGCCATAAACCTCAACGCGGGAAGTGGGCGTGGAAATCGTAGCCCCGCCCCTCTTTTGGTTAATGTTGTTGTACTAAGGTATATTTTCTCCGATTTAGTCGTGGATTTATTTAACAACAAGTTTGTCGTACTTTTTTTTTATAAATGATTGTACACACATTCCTCTTATTATTCAGAATTTTTCCTGTCCTCATTCAGAATTATTCTTGTAATTATTCAGAATTATTCCGAATTATTCCTGTCATTATTCAGAATTATTCCTGTCATTATTTAGAAATGTTTTTGTCATTATTCAGAATTATTCCTTTCATTATTCAGAATTTTTCCTAGTTATTCCTGTAATCATTCAGAATTATTCTTGTCATTATTCAGAATTATTCCTGTCATTTTTTAGAATTATTCCTGTCATTATTCAGAATTATTCCTGTCATTATTCAGAATTATTCCTGTCATTATTCAGAATTATTCCTGTCATTATTCAGAATTATTCCTGTCATTATTCAGAATTATTGCTGTCATTATTCAGCTATATTCCTGTCATTATTCAGCTATATTCCTGTCATTATTCAGAATTATTCCTGTCATTATTCAGAATTATTCCGGTCATTATTCAGAATTATACATTCATCTTAATTCCTGGAAAAAATTAGTTGAACTATTAAATTATATTTTTCATTTAAGTGGATTCAGGGGGTGAAGCATTCATATACTGGAAGCTGTTTGCATTTTAACTTATATGAATATGTTTAAATATTATATTAACAATTAATTTAATTTTAAGAACCTAAGGTTAGGGAGGCCCCTAATTGAAGTGTTAATACAAAATTTAGTAACAAAATTATAGAACAAATTGTATTTGCATTTAGTGATGTTCTGGTGTTCTTGCAAGATTTCAACCAGAAATATACATTTATCTGCCCCGAAAACAGATCTGGTTTAGCTCCTGTCCACTCTCTGATAGCTCGGGAGAAACCTGGAACGGATAACAAGGCACTCTACATCATCAGCACTAACGATAAGTAAGATTACGTCATGATTAGATCTTAGGTAATGTGGGAGCAATTATTCAAGAGAGGATTCTAATATTAAAAATTAAAAATTTTTCTTAACCACGGGTTGTTCCCTCGACCAATTTTGTCCACAAAACATTCCTCGCTGCACTCTGGATGTTTTGTAGACAAAATTTGTCTTGGGAACCCGTGATAAAGTAAAATTCCCTAAAGTTCCCTGTAAAGTAGTTGTTAACAATTAAACCAGTTCCTGAACTGTCCTAATACGTCACAGATAGATATAAACAAACTGTCTGTAATAAATGCCTTACTCTAATATTTCAGTGTATATTTATCGACACACAAGTTATCAAACTCTATCCTCCCTACCAAACCCTGGTAGATCTAACTATGTATTTATCAACACACAAAGCTAACAAACACTATCCCCTCTGCTTTGAACCCACAAAAAAACGATGTAAATCTCTTATACATTACTATTTCTAAAAATATCTGCCCGGATTTTCAGTTTTTTGTCTTCTTGATTTGAATTTTTAAACGCTGTTGTATTATTATTCAGAGATAAATTTTTATATAATCTTATATAATCTCTGTGCAGTTTCTATAATTTTTATACCAATACCTTACAAATTGGTGTAATTAGAACCTTTTTTATTAGATAATTAGGTTACACCAGCATTGGTTACATATCTGAACTAAATATATATTAGTATCGATTAAACAGCAAAACTACCATTACTTTGTTATACAGTTTATCTAGCTACAAAAGCACTGCAATATGCTTAACAATGAAACCAAAGGTATAAATTATGTAATTTAGGGATTCTGAGATGTAAGAATTGTGTAATTTTAGGATCCTGAGATGTATGTATTATGTAATTTAGGGATCCTGAGATGTATGAACTGGGTATAGTTCAACCTAGAGATAGACAAGAATGGATTTCTGGAATACGGTAAAATTTATTTTTCTAATTTACCATAATCTTTTTGTCTGAACTCAAAGAGCACAAAAAATACAGTAGAACGGAGCCTAAAAATGCAGTAGAATGGAGCCTAAAAATGCAGTATAATGGAGCCTAAAAATACAGTATAATGGAGCCTAAATATGCAGTATAATGGAGCCTAAAAATGCAGTATAATGGAGCCTAAATATGCAGTATAATGGAGCCCAAATATGCAGTATAATGGAGCCTAATAATGCAGTATTATGGAGCCTAAATATGCAGTATAATGGAGCCTAAATGTGCAGTATAATGGAGCCTAAAAATGCAGTATAATGGAGCCTAAATATGCAGTATAATGGAGCCTAAATAATGCAGTATTATGGAGCCTAAATATGCAGTATAATGGAGCCTAAATGTGCAGTATAATGGCAGTATAATGGAGCCTAAAAATGCAGTATAATGGAGCCTAAATATGCAGTATAATGGAGCCTAAAAATGCAGTATAATGGAGCCTAAAAAGTAAACAATACACCTCTTATGTAGGATTGAAGGGACTGTATACTTAATTTTAGTTCCCTCCATTAATAATGTGGAATATCCGATTGATAATGGTACCGTTAAAAGTTTTGTCTGATCAAGATTTTGATATCACTACAATCTTCTTTTTGAAAGTTAATCATTTTCAATTGTGGTAGCTCTCTAAAAGGGACTTGCGGATTTCTTGCTACAGAAACAACCGAGTAAATTGTGAGAATTAAACTTTTTCTAAGCTCGAAAAACGACAATATCTTCCACAATTTTGGTCAGATGAAGGTTTCAAGGGCACTTTTGTGCATCGGACATGCCTCTATTTTATTTTTAACTTTTATTTTTATGGAGGGATTTTTGAATTTTATATAAAGCACTGGTGCCATCGGTTTTCTATCCAACTCAGACTATTTAAATATCTTGATTGGTTAACCTTAAACTGGAAATGTTAAGTTTGCAGTACAGTTTAAGCATGTTATTGTACTGCAGGCGAGCTGTTGATATGAGTGTAGGAGGTCCCGGGGAGGAGGAAGCAGAATTAGAGTCAGAGTCTCAACAGGTACATTACAGTACAGTACAGTACAGTACAGTACAATTTCTAAATAGTATGTAAAGAAAATACAAAGTGCAATTTGCAGTGTTCAATGTACATAGCTCTGAATACAGTAGTATAAAGAAACCATGCTTTAGTATCTTAAATCTTATCTTTTTTATTAGTTTTGTTATCAGGTATATATCGGGCACAGATTACACAGATAGAGTAAACAATTTTAGTTATTATTGTTCTAGAACTATTGTATAGTTCAAACTTACATATTTATCCCTCATAGACTTACTTGGTTTTGTACTTAGATAGAAGAGGATACTTGGTTTTGTACTTATATACAAGAGGATACTTGGTTTTGTACTTAGACAGAAGAGGATACTTGGTTTTGTACTTAGATACAAGAGGATACTTGGTTTTGTACTTAGATAGAAGAGGATACTTGGTTTTGTACTTAGATACAAGAGGATACTTGGTTTTGTACTTAGATACAAGAGGATTACGACCTATAAGAACGATTAACCTTTTTGTCCTGTCTGTGTTTCTATGGTCTCAATATTTACTGTGAAGAGAATATATGACAGCTAAATCTATATTTATTATTACACTAGGTGAAGAAGCAGCTTGAAGCTAAATATATGAAGCTGAGGCAACTAACAGGAGAGCTTCGTGGTCGGGATATGGAGCTGGGCAGAGTCATGGAGGATAAAATGAGGGTGCTTCTCGAGATGCTTGAGGAGTTGGGAGTAGACTCCGGACTAGGACAGGTTGGTTGATTTGGAGTAGTTAGGAGTAGATGGGAGTAGACTCAGGAATAGGACAGGATGGTAGAGTAGGAGTTGATATGAGTAGACTCGGGACTAGGACAGGAATTGGTAGAGTAGTAGATGGGAGTAGACTCAGGACTAGGACAGGTTGGTAGAGTAGAAGTAGTTAGGCTTATATGGGAGTAGATTCAGTACTAGGACGGGTTGGGAGAATAGGATTTGTTAGGAGAATAGGAGTTGTTAGGATTAGATGGGAGTAGACTAAGGACTAGGAAAGGTAGGTAGAATAGGAGTAGTTATGATTTGATGGGAGTAGACTCAGGACTAGGACAGGTAGGTAGAATAGGGTAGTTAGGATTAGATGGGAGTAGACCCAGGACTAGGACAGGTAGGTAGAATAGGAGTAGTTATGATTAGATGGGAGTAGACTCAGGACTAGGACAGGTAGGCAGAGTAGGAGTAGTTAGGATTATATGGGAGGAGAGACTCAGGACTAGGACAGGTAGGTAGAATAGGAGTAGTTAGGAGTAGATGGGAGTAGACTCAGGAATAAGACAGGTAGGTAGAATAGGAGTAGACTCAGGACTAGGACAGGTAGGTAGAATAGGAGTAGACTCAGGACTAGGACAGGTAGGTAGAATAGGGTAGTTAGGATTAAATGGGAGTAGACTCAGGACTAGGACAGGTAGGTAGAGGAGGAGTATTAAGAAGTAGAAAGGAGTAGACCCAGAACTAGGACAGGTTGGTAGAGTAGGAGTAATAAAGAGTAGATGTAAATGACTAAGAAAAGGACCGGTTGGAGAAGTTACCAATTCTAATGACCTATTTGAATTAAGGTTAAGTACACTGGACTGATCCAGGAGCAGGAGATGAGTTTAAGAAAGGAGGATTTACTCCAAGAACTCCAAGAGGCGTCCCGTCTTGCCGCCACATTTTTTTCCGCCTCATCTCACCTTGGGCGCTCCGCCTCCTCTGTCGGCGAGAAACAATCAGAAGTGTATGAAACACCAGCGCTGCCGAAGCGGGCAGAGACATTCGGTGGTTTCGATGCTGACCTTGGTCGAGGTAGACGGCGGAGTGGAGGTTGGGTTGAGCAGGGACTAGGCGGATCTCCTGCTTTGCTGGGGCTGGATAAAGGTCAGCAGGTAGCTGCTGTTCAGCTTGCTCATCATCTCAACAATATTCTTTGTATGGTGTCAGAACACTTCACTAGTTTACAGGGACTTAAGGTAGGTTTATATTCCTAGTTTTTTAAATATTTAGAATCATTTTCAATGTGGACACGGATCCGGATATAATTTTAATCCAGACTAATATAAAATTTGATTTTTTCCTTATTTATTCCAGACACTGTCATTCTTCTTTGTATTTTCATAAAAAATGTATAACAGAAATAAACTCGAGTTGTTATAAATTGATGTCTTCATATTTTTATATAGGTTGAGTTGGCTGAATGCAAAGAAAGAGCTGCTCTTGGCTGGGGCCGTTACAAGCACAATCAGCAGCTTGAGGAGCTAAGAACCCTTCAGGAGCGACTCCAGGAGGAGCGGCGAAGTTGGCAGGAGCAGAAGATGGAGCAGGAGCGGGAGTATAAACAGAAACAGGAGAGCATGGCTAAACTTCAGGTCAGTTTCATTTTCTTTCCAGGGTTTCTCTGAAAATACTAAAGACAAACAGGAATTGGCAAATGGCAATGTCTCAAGCAGTGCAGGTTTCACTGAAAACACTAGAGACAAACAGGAATTGGGAATGTCTCAAGCAGTGCAGGGTTTCTCTGAAAATACTAAAGACAGACATGAATTGGGAATGTCTCAAGCAGTGAAGTACGGGTGGGGTGAGAAATGGTATTATGTAAAGTGTATGATCTCGAATAGTCCAATAATCAATGAAACGAACAAAATAAAGTTCCCAGATTTAACATTTAAAACCAGCAGTAACTGTAGATATTAAAGATGAATTAATCGCGCTTTACACCCCCCCCCCCCCACTTTTCATCACATACCCATTTATATCAAATAGGGAATATCATGAACAATCTATCTTAAATATTAATTACGAATATGGTTTAGGCCGCCTTAGAGCAAGACAAGAAGGATGTTGAACAACAGAGAGATAAATTGTACAGAAAACTTGAAGCTTTGAGAGCTCAGGGTATAGACTTTGCTCCTAACATGACTGTGATAGGTGCGCCCCAAGCGCCCAACCCGGAACCCCATTTCATAATGGAGGTGCGTAAGGCCGTTTCGCCGCCGAGCGACGGACGAAAACAAACACACGCTCAATCCCTCGCTGCGAGTAAAGGACTCTCCCTGTCTCAAAGTAACATGGTAAACCAGAACCTAATATCTGCCACTATAGAGACCAAGGGGGATGTCCACGAGGTGAAACAGCAGATTCCATCTAAGCTTGCCAAGTTATCTCTCGCTGGATCTAAAGGAAAAGACAAGAAAAGTTTATCTAACATGAAAACTAGTATCTCTGGGCCCTTGACTAACCTACCTACTCTAACCATCAACCCAACCCAACAGATGCTTCCTTATAAACTATCAGAGGCGGAGAAAAAGTCCTCACTGTCCCCCAAGGGTTACCAGAAACTTTCCAGTTCAAGTTTTGCCGAGGATAGGTTAGGTCGGTCGGCGTACAGGGAAGACGTGTCTCACTCCCGCACCGGAAGTAGTCCGGCAGCTATGAGTGGCCGACCAATGTCCAGCTCCAATACATTGCCAAAATCTCACAGAACAGAGAGTCCAGAGAAGAGTCAACCTCTGGTTCAGCGCGTAAATTACGCAGACTCCGGAGAAGAGGTTTTTTTCTTCTGACAAAAGCTCCGGAATCTTCGGAGCAGCCTCTCCTGATATTTGTCAATGTTTGGTTGTTGGCCAGGAGTTCAGGGACACTGCTTAGTGATATATTCCTGTTCTAGTGATTAGTGAATACTAATTATCCCACAAACTTTTGTCTCCTCCAGCTGCGTATGGTGGTGACTGGGTGGGTTTAACTAGGTCGTAAGACAGCATTCTTATACAAGTTTTCTTTTCATGTTTAGCTGGGTTGTAAAAATAAAACCCGGTTTCGGTCAACCGTGTTCACGTTGACCCCGTATCCTGACACATTCCCGTAGTTTATATTATGCAAGTATTTACTTTATCACCTTGTTGAATGAAAATTTAATATTTTTCTCTTATCATTGTGAATTAGCTATTTATCAGTATTAATGTTTAGATCTTTAAAATTTATATGTTTCCCTTTTTATCAAACCCTTGATATTCCTCTCTCCTTTATATCTGACATCTCTTTCCAGGGGCGGATACAGGGGGGGGGGGGTGGCAGGACCTTCGCACCCCCGAGATTTCAGAATAGCTCCTCAATAGCACTTAAGGGAAAGAAACCCTAGTGCAAAACAGGAAAAATATCTATCTTAAATGAATTGCTGTTCCTAAATCTGGATGTTTTTGTTCCTAAATAAATCTAGCACCCCCCTGACTGAAATCCTGTATCCGCCCCTGTATCTTTCCTTGAATTGTGTATACTCTGAACCCTGTTTACACTTCCTACAAAGTTCAGTCCGGAAACTAATAAAAATGTTAAGGGACTCTTCATATAAAATTTCCAGCCTCTAATTTCTTTTTGCGATTAAAATTGACTTGCGGATTTTATGGGGCAGAGACAAAGAATTTAATTCAGACATTTTTAGATGAGAAAACACCGATATCTTGATCACGCTTACTGTCCCTTTACATTTTCATTATTTCGTCTAAACAAATGTACTGACTTAACTATCATGTAAGGGATTTATCACCAAGGGAAATTCCTTCATGTTGTTCATGCAGTTTGTTTCTGAAGAAAATAATATTTCTTTGGAAGTTTAAATGCCCTGAATCTGAATTTAATGAATTTGAGCCGCGTCCTAAATCCGCTATAAACCGGTTTCAATTGAACGCCGGCTTGAAACATTAAATACAATTTTAGTGGAAACAACCATATTTGAGGCGAAATTTCTTTAAATTCGGCCTTTTTTATCTGAAATAGTTGTTATTGTTTTTAAAATAATTTATTTTTTTATTTCAATTTTTCTATTTTAATTCCTTTTTTATTTCATACTCAATTCGTTCATTGTGCTCTACACATTTTTATAAAAGGGGGACAGTCTAAAACTATTACAAACAGACACTTTTTTTTAATGAATATTTTTCCAAATCAAAATATTCTTAAGATTTCAATCTAAAGTATTTCATTGTAAGTCTGACACTGTTGGTTGAATTTGAAATCTTTTGGTCAATAATTATTTTTAGTATTTTTGTTGAAATATTTCATGAATTTAATTTATACTTATTTTTTGTGAGTTTGTATCTAGAGTTTGTATAATATTCTACCAATAAATTTATTAATCTTGTCCTATCTATTCCTTTTTATTCATGAAATGATTAAACAAAATATCAGAATCCGGGTTCTGAATCGACCACGAAACATGGAGATAACAGTTTTTCATTTTATATCGTCTTAAAAGTTTACCCTAAAAATATTATCAAAGGGACTGTAAGCGTAATATCAAGTGAACCTTCATGTTAAGATGGCAATGCTCAATTCACAATGGTACCTTTAAAATTTAAATCTGAATCATGAACTAGATATCAATGTTGATTTTCAAATGGATTTTCTCTACGACAGTTACTTGTGCATTTCTATTGCAGGAAAATATATGTAATTATCAGAAATGAACACTTTCAAACCCCGTGAAACGACAATATCTTCTACATTAGGAATCAGACTAAGGTTTGCAGAAAGATAAGTACACTGAAAGCTACGCGCAGCTGACCTGAACCTGAAGCAGGTTTTACTCAAATGAATAAGCTACATAGCTACAAACTTTTCATCATAGTTTATTTATTAGAATCATGGTTTCAGAAATATTCAACCTGAACCATAGAGTTTTTCATTCAATTAAACCGTGGAGTTAATCTCCTGAACCAAAGAGTTTTTTATTCAGTTAACCCTTGGAGTTTATTCCCTGAACCATCGAGTTTATCATTTAATTAAACCTTGAAGTTTATCTCCTGAAGCAGAGAGTTTATCATTTAATTAAACCTTGGGAGTTTATCTCCTGAACCAGCTGAGTTTATCATTTAGTTAAACCTTAGAGTGTATCTCCTGAACCAGAGAGTTTTATCATTCAATTAAACCTTTGAGTTTATCTCCTGAACCAGAGTGTTTACCATTCAATTAAACCTTTGAGTTTATCTCCTGAACCAGAGTGTTTACTTTTCAATAAAACCTTGGAGTTTATCTCTTAAACCAGAGAGTTTACCATTCAATTAAACCTTGGAGTTAATCTCCTGAACCATAAAGTTTATCATTTAATTAAACCTTGAAGTTTATCTCCTGAACCAGAAAATTTACCATTCAATTAAACCTTGGAAATTATCTCCTGAACCATAGAGTTTTTTATTTGCACCTTGAAACTTTTTACTTGAAACTTGCAGGTGTTTGGAAGATAAATCTTGTAGTTTTTAGATATAGCTTAGAGTAAGTCAACTGAAATATAGCGTTTTTCATTTAAACCATGGAGTTTTTCATCTAAGCCCTGGAGTTTTCATTAAATCATGGAGCTTTTCATCTAGACAATGGAGTTTTCATTAAATCATGGAGCTGTTCATCTAAACAATGGAGTTTTCATTAAATCATGGAGTTTTTCATCTAAACAATGTAGTTTTCATTAAATCATGGAGCTTTTCATCTAAACAAAGGAGTTTTCATTAAATCATGGAGTTTTTCATCTAAACCATGGAGTTTTTCATTTAAACTATGGAGTTTCTCATTTAAATCAAGGAGTTTTTCATCTGAACCATGAACCTATAGTTTTTCATTAAAACCATGAAGTTTTCCATCTAAACAGTAAACCATGGAATTTTTTATTTAAACCAAGGAGGTTTCCATTTAAAACCAAGGAGGTTTCCATTTAAACTATGGAGTTTCTCATTTAAATCATGGAGTTTTTCATTTAAACCATGAACTTTTTCATTTAAACCTATAGTTTTTCATTAAAACCATGAAGTTTTCCATCTAAACAGTAAACCATGGAATTTTTTATTTAAACCAAGGAGGTTTCCATTTAAAACCAAGGAGGTTTCCATTTAAAACCAAGGAGGTTTCCATTTAAACCATGGAGGTTTCCCTCTAGTAAACAGTAAACCATGGAATTTTTATTTAAACCATGGAGTTTTTCAATTAAACCATGTTTCATTTAAATCATGGAGTTTTTTATTTAAACCATGGATTTTGCATTTAAACCATCTAAACATAGACGTTAATCATCTAAACATAGACGGTTATTACCTAAACATAGACGTTTATCATCTAAACATAGACGGTTTTTATTTAAACATAGACGTTTATTATCTTAACATAGAAGTTTATCATCTAAACATAGACGTTTATCATCTTAACATAAACGTTTATTACCTAAACATAGACGTTTATCATCTAAACATAGACGGTTTTTATTTAAACATAGACGTTTATTATCTTAACATAGAAGTTTATCATCTAAACATAGACGTTTATCATCTTAACATAAACGTTTATTATCTAAACATAGACGTTTATCATCTAAACATAGACTTTTTTTATTTAAACATAGACGTTGATTATCTTAACATAGACGTTTATCATCTAAACATAGACGTTTATCATCTAAACATAGACTTTTATCATCTTAACATAGACGGTTTTTATCGAAACATAAACGTTTATTATTCAAACATAGACGTTTATTATCTAAACATAGACGTTTATTATCTAAACAAGACGTTTATTATCTAAACCACAGATTTATCATCTGAACCAATGATTTATACATTTAAAAAGTTTTAACTCTACCATTTAAAATCACCATCTAATCATTAAATTATCAAATTTATGCTCAGTTATACCGTGAGAACCAAATAACACTGGAATAAGGAGACGACATTAAAGTAATAATCCAATAATTAAGTTTATAACATTGGATTATTTAAAGTCATAAATTAAATATAAATGTCGTTTTTCTATTTCAGATTTTTATGGTTCTCACTATATATACATTATATATAACTTTGTTTCCAAAAAATTCATTCAAAAAAGAATATTTTGTCTTTTTTGACATTATCAGATTTGCATTTATATTATATTAGTGTAACCTTTGAGACCAACTATAAACTAAAAACTTGCATAGAAAAATTAAAAAAGTGTATAACCTAGTAGAGTTGGGCATCTTTATTCTCCGTTTTTTAAACACTCGCAATATTTAGGCTTTTAGGAGACTTCCAACTAACAGGAGAAGTTAAACATAATTCACAATTGATTTTTCAAATTGTTCTTTAACGAAGGATTGATTTTGCTTAATTTATATATATATATTTATTTATATATATTTCATATATTTTCTGTAAGAGTCAAAATTTTGCATGATGATGTGTAAAGAATACTGATAAAAAAGTTAGAAGTTTGATTTACGTAGGACTTTGGAGGTTTTTTAAAGCCTCCTAATTTCCTAAAAAGCAAAAATTCTAGAATATCTAAAGAAACCGATATGAACGATGCCCAATTCTATTAGGATAGAGGACAAATAATTGTAAAAAAGAAGCTTTAAAAGCGTTATAATCCATAGAGAATAGTTTCTTTTTTATTTTTATTTTTGATCAAAGTTTTTTGTTGCAATTTTAATATTTGCCTGTACATTTTAAAAAGTAAATATGAAAAGAGGAATAAAGGGAAAAAATAAAAGATATACATTTTTAGGTTACATCGGAAATGTAGCACTTAAAGATGTTAATTTCGATTTGTATGGTATCACAAATATATCTAATGGAAAGACATTTCATACATAACAAGTCTATTGGACATTTCATGAGACAAGAAATTTCATAGATAGGACATTTAATGGAAAGACAAATAACATACAAGGAGAAGATCTTTCATAGCGAGGACATAGAGATAAATTTTCAATTTCCTAAAATTTGTTTAATATATGTACGAAAATTCAAGATTAAGATATTTCATAGTGAAAGAATATAGTTAGGTAACATTTCCAATTTGAATAAATGAAATCTTCAGATTTACAATTTAATAGTGTTTTGCAGTACGTATGTCTCGACAAATAAAATTAACCAAAATAAGTTTTCTAAAAATTAAGACTTGATTAAAACTTCTTGATAAAGAGAAAACTGCCCGAAAACTGTATATCACTGTAAACCAAAATTATATTATTATATAGTATATTATATAGAGTAAATATATCTATTTTTTTTGGGGGGGGGGGGGATATTGAATCTCCTCCCCCCTTAAAAATCTTACTTACCTTTATATGATATAATACATTCGTGATTTAAACGTTTAATTTAAATTTTCATCTATTTTTGGCGTTTTTACAAACATTTTTAAACCCCTGTACGTTTAAAGTATATTTATTTTAAATATATTATTGTTTGCTGAACCAGTTGGCGGTATATAATATTATAAAATTTTTAAAAAGACTTGAAATAAAGTAAACTCGATCAGGGGCGTAAACACGAATGGGATCAACCTTAAAAATTAACTAAAAGTAACACTTAATAACTGACAGTGTCCTGCAGAGACCAGAAACTGTATAAATAAAGTGACTAAATATATTGACTAAAATTGTGTTTACACAAAAGAGGAGTGGGATGGTTATGATATGAAGGGGGGGGGGGTGATTACTGTCGGTCAATTTCAATTAAAAAGATATAAAATTTCCTTTTCCCTTCTTTTATTTGATTAATGATTCACACGAACCACCGTACAGCAAAAAGTAACATGGAGACATATTGAAATTATACGTATATAAAATATGGCCAGGTTTAGGAGAAGGTGATTGTACTCATCCTCAAGCTTGCAGTATTAAAAAGTATTAAAAACATTTAATAATTCTTTGTAAATAAGTAAAATGTGGAACTGAAAGTTGCTAAGAATGAAACCTAACTAAACTCTATCTTACAAAGACGACTTGTCCACCCGGATATAGAATTATTTGAGAAACGCTTTACAAATCTAAATTAACTCACTTGCGGCATTTTACGGGGCACGTGTAAGAGGTCCGAGCGCATTGTGATTCATTGTGAAAAATTTTAATGTTTACCGTGATCTACAGTATGAAAATTCGATGGAATTTCAAAGCTCTTGATATTGTGCTTTTTCCTTTTACTTTATGCGGTTGCACCATTCGTAAATCTATCGTAGTGTTTGTTTTTATTTTCATCATAGTTCTAATATTAAGTAGGAAATGGAACGTTGTCTGTTCTAATAGGAAAGGATTCATTCACTGATGAATAACTGTATTTTGAGATTGTGAATATAAGCTTTAAGTATTTCAGTGCGTCTTATTGCCTATGCATTTATGCCGCGAGAGTGCGTGTGAAAGCGGAAGAGGAGGCCCTTTTCAGCTCCCTCATGCATGGAGTGAACATTTCTCTTTTTCATTAATATAAGATCAGATTTCTCAGCTTTCGATCAACCATGTTTTGAATGAATTTTTTTAACAGAGACGTAGACATTATTATCGAACACTTGTGCAATGATGTCGAAGAGGGCCGAGCTATCGGTGGTCTTTGTCGAGAGTTTTGCCAACCCAGTGTACTCAAACCTGTACAGTGCCAAGCCTGGCATGGGGGCAAAGAAATTGTTTTCAAGGCAGAGTTTCATGGAAATTCTGTTTATGTGAAAGGTTAGTGCTTGTGTTCGTCTTTTTTTTTCCCTTTAATTTCTTCGAAAGTTCTTCAATCTTTTTTGTTCAGGCCGAAGAACGAATGCGTATGAGAATTCTGAAGAGAACTTGTTTTGGCGAGATTCCGATGATGTTGAACATTACCCAACATTAATTGAGTTCAAAGAAATTGTTAAATCGCATCTTTTCCACAACTTTAATTTAACTTTCTCTGAGACCGTTTTCTACAAACTTTGGCCTCATCCTCTACATCGTGACTCAATGTCAGATGAACAAAATCGGTTATTGCTAAAAATCTCCTTGGAAACTTACTGGAACCTTCTTCAAGATCCTGAATACGTCTTTCTTGCATTATATGAACATTTTGATATTTTCCCCGAGCTGTTTGGAACCTGTGGGGGACTGTACATCGTGGAGGCTGTCACACCGCTCAATGTTCCAGGACTACTTGAGAAAACTTCTTTTACATCCTGGGCTGAGAGAGTAAAGGTCTCCTTGTCAATATTGGACTTGTTGGATGAGTTTGATACTATGTTTGAATATCCTCTTCACATTTGTGATGTCAAACTTGAGCATTTCGGACTCTCTGACAATGGACGAATGAAGTACAATGACGTGGACAATGTTTACTTAAAACCGGTTTTGGATAAGTATATTGCAGATGGATCAGATTGCACTAAACATAGTGATTGTGATTTTTTCGATTGCAAGGGTCAATGTGATCTTATCAAGCGCAAGTGTCTCGGAGGCGTTGTTAACAATAACCTGCAAATCGTGTGCGATAAAATATTCATGGGTAAATCATTTGGGTTGAAAAGTCTTGGAGGAACAGGACTTCTGGCCTCAAGACATGGAGACGGTGTGCTGAAACCCCTACTGGAGTCTTGCTCCAATCCAAGCAGAGCTCAAGATGGGGTGAGATTAAGGGCAGAGGGACAAATTTATACTGATCTTAGATCTACACTGAAAGAAATTGTTCGTGCCAGAAACAGGTTAAGTCAAGAAAACTAATCTTACAGAGTAAATAATGGAAACTGACCTAGGATATGCAGACTTAAACATTCCTGTTGCGAGAACCTCTGATGCAGGCCTAAGATCTTTGATTAAGCGCGCCCTGGAGCTTGGTTATCAAACAGTTGCTTTAAACACTGTAGTCGACCAGGTATTCTCATCAAATTCTCCCTGATTACTTCAACTATCTATCTCCGGTTTATTTAGGAGAACTTGATGACAAAGAAGAAGAAACAGAAGGCTGGTGAACTAAACAAACTTTCGGAGTTTCCTGAACCAACCATAGTTGAACTGAACCCTGAAGATTATCCTCATCTCCATTCTCGAGGACTTAAACCTAAAATACTCACAAGATTAACCATTATGATCTCGGATAATGACTTTTTGATCCATTATAACAAATCAGAAATTGTTAAAAATTATGATCTCTTAGCAATCATTCCAAAAACTGCACAGTGCCTGATTTCTTTACTAAAATCATCTTTTCGGTTTGACATTCTCTCTTACACTCCCGACCTCATTTACTCCGGTGTCAAATGGCAACGGAAACTTTATAACGAGTGCATAGAAAAGTTTATACATTTTGAACTTATGTATGTCCCTGCTATAGTAGACAGAGAGGATAGAAGAAAAACTATCGGGTTGTCCCACTCTTACCAATCAATTGGGAAATCAAAGAAGATTTTCTTCTCTAGTTCTGCTACGAAGCCAATTGAACTCCGGTCTCCAAGCGACGTATCAAACCTGGCATTTATATTTGGTATGAACGAGAACCAAGGGAAGGACGCCGTCAAGAAGCACTGTTTGGACATATACAAAGCTGCCTTGGGCCGGAAACTCGGTGTGTACAGGGTTAGAGTTGAGAAAATCCAAGGAGAACCTGTGGAAGAGAGTGGAAGTGATTCAGATGGGATGGAAACAGATTGATTTATATTTATTTATTATATTTTCAGAATCATGGCATACTATAACTTTAAGAAGATAGCTGTGGTCCCCTGTGCCAAGGACTTCACTGATATAGTCCTATCGAAGACACAGAGAAAAACTCCAACAGTTATTCACAGACATTATAAAATCTCAAGAATTCGTTCCTTTTATATGCGCAAGGTTAAGTTCACACAGAGCAACTTCAGTGAGAAACTAGCACAGATCCTACTGGAGTTCCCTAAGCTTGAAGATATTCATCCGTTCTACGCTGATCTTATAAACGTTCTTTATGACAAGGTATAAAATTATAAATTTAATATCAATTATTTTATAGTGATGATTTTATATTAAATTCGAAAGCTTAGGCGCTGATCGTTATTGAACAATCCGATTCTGATGTTTTTAAATGAAAAAAAATTTCTAATATTTTTGAATTAAATTTAACAATTTTTCCGTTCAGGACCATTACAAGCTTGCTCTGGGTCAGATCAATACAGCTCGACATTTGATCGACAACGTGTCTAAGGATTATGTTCGACTCCTGAAATTTGGCGACAGCTTGTACAGATGCAAACAGTTAAAGAAGGCGGCGCTTGGTCGTATGGCGACCATTATGCGTAGACAAAATCAGTCCCTGCAGTATCTTGAACAGGTAATTTATTTTTTTTTATTTTTCAACTCTTTTTTTATATAATCTGATGAAAAATTTTTAAGTAGAACGATAATGATCTTTTAATGAACAATTCGACACTGAAATTATGAATATTTTAAAACTAAACTCAAGTTGTAAGATCTGTTATCAAACAGGATTTTATTTAGGTGCGCCAACATTTGTCCAGATTGCCTACAATCGATCCTAACACAAGAACTCTTCTAATTACAGGTACAATTTCAAATATTTTTTTAAACCATGTTTTCTCTAAGCATTCCGGTATCTCCAGCGGAATCAACATGGTCCGTTGGTCGAAGTGTTTGCTAAATTATTCCGAGTTTCATCGTTAGTTCTCTTTCTTTTAATAGAGGAGATCTTGGAAACATACTCGGAACATTTTAATTATTTTCCGTAAACTGAACGTTAACTTTACTTAAACGTCGTCAAATAATCCCTAATTGCACTTGACATGATTTACCCTTTCTTATTGGGAGAGTTTTTTAGGATGTTTTGAACTTTTTGTCAACTTAGTTTTGTTTTGTTGCAATAAAAATTGACAATGCTTTTTCTTCAATTTCATGTGTAATTAGTTTATGGGACCCGCTAATTGAATAGTTGTGAGATTGTTCTAACGGTTTTTGATCCGTTCCTTCAAAGATTTTGAAAACAGCTTATTAAATGAGTTTTTATTACTATTTATATTTAGGGTTTCCCAATGTTGGAAAATCAAGTTTTATCAACAAGATAACACGAGCAGATGTTGAGGTTCAACCCTACGCTTTCACCACCAAATCCCTCTACGTGGGACACACAGACTACAAATATCTTCGTTGGCAGGTCTTACTTTGGACTAGATTCTAATGGTATTTGCAGGGTTAATGGCAACACCAAAAATTTTTAACTATCGGAAGATTGAAATTGGTTGTCGATTCAGTTCTAAGATTTATTTGAATGATTTGGCAAAGTTAGTTAGAAGGCAACTGTTGGAGGGAACCAAGAAATCTAAGTATAAATTCCGCTCATTCTGAAGTGGAAGCCTTTTGTAGGCAATGTTAAGTGTATATACTTAACTCCCCCCCCC